TCCTGGAACATGAGACCATGGCAGACGTGAGAGGTGCGGCTACAAGGCCATTTCTCACTGGCTTCCCTATCTACCCAGGAGGCTATCATGAGACAGTGCTCATAGTTTCAGGGTTCTTATGGGGTATGAGGCTTTTCTGCCTCACAAGCATTAAGGCACACATCCAGCTGTAAAAGTGATGAGCAGCACCATGGAATGGAATCCTCAGCAAGAGTGTCCCATCATTCCTGCTACAGTCATCTGGCCTCTTTTGTTTCAGTGCCATCCCACACAAAGACCACAGAGAGCTGGTACCTTTAAGCTACTCATCTTTTCACTCTATGTAAACAGTAAACTGAGTCAAAAAAGGGCTCATTGTTTCCTTACTGGCTGAATCTGTCAGCAGGGTTTTGCCTTGTGCTTGACAGTATCAGAATATATAAAGAGCTCTTAAAGCGTGACATTAACAAGCAACCCGACTAAAAAATGGGCAAAAGATCTGATTAGAAAATTCACCAAAGAAGATATGTGGAAGGAAAATAAGCACATGAAAAGCTGTTCAATATCATTAGGCATTAGGGAAATGCAAATTAAAACCACAATGCAATACCACTACATACACATTAGAATGACTAAAATAAAAAATACAGTGCTAGAGAAGATGCAGAGCAATTGGAACTCTTACATTGCTGGTGGAAAGCCAAATGGTTCTGGTATTCTGGAAAAACAGCTTGGCATTTCCTAGAAAGTTCAACATTTACCTTTATGACCTAACAATTCTCTCCAACTCATTTCCTGGGTATTTAATCTCAGCAACCAAATGTCCTTACGCAGGTGAATGAATGAACAAACTGCAGTATATCCATACAGTGACATACTATTTAGCACTAAAACAAGGAACACCCTATTCACACAACATGAATAAATCTTAAATTCATTTTACTAAGAGAAATGAAGCCATTCTCAAGGAGTTACATACTCCTCCATTTATATGACAGTCTCGAAACGACAAAACTAGAGTAACAGAACAGATCGGGGGTAGAGGTAGAGAGGGTGTGACTATAAAGGGCACAAGGTATTTTTGGGGGGTAATGGAACTGTTCTGTATCCTGATTGTGGTGGGGGTTGCATGAATCTATTTACATGCTAAATTCAGAGAACCAAAAAAGGCAATTTTACTGTATTTATGTATATCAAAAACAGGCAAATTTGCTTATGTTAATTAAAAAAAATAAAATTTAAAAAGAAAGAAAAAAGAGAGAAGGGAGAACAGTTATAAAATAAGAGATTTAAGAGAAAAAAATGCAATTTGTGGACCTTATTTGGATCCTGATTTGAACAAACCAACGACAAGAGGCATTCTTTTTTTTTAAAAGATTTTATTTATTTATCTGACAGAGAGAGACACAGTGAGAGAAGGAACACAAGCAGGGGGAGTGGGAGAGGGAGAAGCAGGCCCCCCGCTAAGTAGGGAGCCCGATGCGGGGCTCCATCCCAGGACCCCGGGATCATGACCTGAGCCAAAGGCAGACATCCAACGACTGAGCCACCCACGCGCCCCTACAAGAGGCATTCTTGATACAACCAAGAAAACTTTAATGTTCATTTGGAAGTGTAAGTTAAGTTTATTTTTAAAATATGATGATGGCCTTGTGGTTATGTAAAAAAAACTTCATCAATTAGATATGTATTCTGAGATATACATGTATGAGTGAAATAGGAATAAGTCTGGGATTTGCTTTAAAATAATTGAGAAAAACAAGTGGAGGAGATACATTGGCAAACGTGGAAGCTAGTGGTTCATTATATGATCTTTACTATTTTTGAGAATGTTTGAAGTTTTCTGTAATTTTTCTTAAAAACGGGAAATGAGATTTCAAAAACAGAGTAGAACTTCCTTTCCACATTTATTATAAAGCAGTAGACATGATAGGCCTACTGTTGGTTTCCATCTCAATGTCAAATCTTTCCAATGACTCCAAATAAATAAATGCTGCGTGTGCCAAAAATAATACTGACCTATGGAAAAAAAACAGTCTCCTAGAAATCTTACACCTTGAGCAATAAACTCCTAAAATTACTAGATTAGTAAAGATATGCCGTTAGATTTTAAAATAGCATATCAAAACAGCTTCTTTTATATACCATTTTCAATGACACCATCAAAGAAATAAAGGGTGAAAATTTTACAGCAATAATTATGATTCTAAAAACCTCAGCCAAAAAACAAAGTTACTCAGGCTTTTTGATTCTCATTAATTATTTACACAGTGTGGCTCTCTTGCTGGGTTGGTCCAGTCTGTTCTTTTGAGAATTATTATTATTTATCATTTCTTGAGCACTTAGCACATGATGACAAATTCCCTCCCTAGGGGATAACAATCAAAACCACACAAGCAAAACACAAAGATCAGCTATTTAAGAAATGAAAACTAAATCAAAGGTTAAGAAACACATTCTGAACTCCCCTTTTTCTTGCTTTCAGCTTTAAGCCCATGATATAACACATGCATCTTTTAGGGGCCCAAAAGAAAAGTGAAGTTGCCAAGACAAAAAACAAAACAAAAAAACAACAACAAAAAACTGGTTTAGGAGATAGAAAAATCCTAGACATTATTCCAAGAAGACATCCTATCTTAGAAATCCTTTCACTCTCTGAGATATATAAATTACCAAAACCTACTCCTAGCTCTAGTGGACTGTAATAGCTTTGTGTGTGTATGATTTAGGTCTTCCTAGCCGACTTTTCTGTTCCCTTTCTTTTGATAATACCACTCTTGCTTCAGGAACTGCCTCTCCCAGTCTGTGTATTCCTGATGAGACTGTCAATCATAATGCACCTTTCCCCTACCTTATAATGACATTGTGCTGAAGGCTGTAGGCCCAGAGAAGCCCAAGGTCATTTTTACAGAGTGTGCAATGAAATTTCTCTACAGGGTCCATTAGACCCATTTGCAAAAAAAAAAAATAAATAAAATAGTTGGTTATAGTTTAAGTGCTGGCAGTCCTAAGCCCTGGAATCAAGCCTCTGGGACCCTAGTTCCTATAGTTGTTTTAGATTGTTTGAACTACTCCACAATCCTTTTATCTTTATTTACTTTGGGCGGGGGAGGGGCAGAGACAGACTCTTAAGCAGGCTCCACGCCCAGCGTGGATGAAGGTCTGGTCTCAGGACCCTGAGATCATGACCTGAGCCAAAATCAAGAGTTGGGCACTTAACTAAGCCACCCAACTGCCTCTCCACAATCCTTTTAAGTGTTTGTGTTCACAATAGTACGAATTAGGTTTCTTTTGTCATTTGCACCTGAAAGAATCCTGAGACATTAAAAGAACTTGCCCAAGATCCAACAGCTCCTAAAAGGTAGAGTATTTATTCAAAATTAGGTCTACTACTCCACATAGTAGGCTTTTCCTACTATGCCAGTGTACTTTTTTTATGTGTATGTTCCTAAAATCTAGTTTCTATAAGATTGAGAAAGGAAGGAAAAGGGTCTGAGAGGCAGCGGGTCAGTCTGTCTAATCCTATATTGGTTTCTGGTAATGGGGGGGAAAACTACAAATACTGTAATCTAATAAAAATTTATTTTAACCCATTTTGCATGGTATTTAATACCTATGAACAAGAATTCCGGGGGGGCAATCATACAAACTTCTACCCAAGAGGTGTGGAATTCTAGGAAAGAATGGTATCAAAGTATTTTCTCTTCCCTCTGCTCTACCCAGTTGTAATGGCTGCATTAAAAAACAATACCAACAACACCAAATAAAACGTTTAAGTTTTCGAAGTTTATCAAGAATACCTCTATTTGTTTCCATTAAAAGTGTCTTTATTCACTGTTTCACAGGTATATGCAAAAAAAAAAAAAGGTACTGAAATGATTCTAGCAGATTACAAATTAAATTAATGGCTTTTTTTTTTTTTTGCCCAACCAACTGAGCCACCCAAGCGCCCAATGGCTTCTTTTTTGATAATAATTACTTTTAAGTGTCAAATCAAATGTTTCCTCACTTTCCTATCTTATTTATTTACTTTTAATTAATTAATTTTTTAAGAAATTTTATTTATTTGACAGAGAGATACACAGCGAGAGAGGGAACACAACAGGGGGAGTGGGAGAGGGAGAAGCAGGCTTCCCACGGAGCAGGGAGCCCGATGTGGGGCTCTATCCCAGGACCCTGGGATCATGACGCTTAACGAATGAGCTACCCAGGCGCCCCATTTATTTACTTCTTAAAAAGATTTTATTTTTAAGTAATCTCCACACCCAACATGGGGCTTACACTCACAACCCCCAAATCAAGGGCTGCATGCTCTACTGATTGAGCCAGCCGGCCAGGTGCCCCTCACTTTTCTATTTTAAATGATTTCTGTTATTATTACACTTATCATGATTTGAAATTTTCTTGTTTATTTACTTCTTACTTTATCTGTTGCAACTTATTTGTTTATTCACTTCTTAGCAGGGATCTTGCGTTTCATTTGCCATCATATTTTTAAGTTTGGCTTATAGAAGACACAAAGTATTTGTTAGTTTTTAAAAGTACACTGCTCCAAAATAAAAGTCTCTGTTTTGATACCTATAAGGTATACCAATATATTGAAACTAAAGGATGATAAATTATTCTGTGTTCTCCTATAAATGGAACTGGGATGAAATCTGTTGATAGCCCAGGTGTTGGTAGATGAGAGAAGCGACCACATTCTCTAGTTGGGTGGGGTTGGGCAAATGCTCAGCTTGAGTTTAGTGGTTCCAGGAATCCAGTGGTTCCTGCTTCCACTTCATTTATCAGCATTTCAGAGACTCTGCATAAGCTTTTGTTTGAGGAAATGATTCCACAGCCTAAAAAGAGAGGTTTAGGAGAGGGTGGTAGAAAGCATTTACATTGTATATTCTTCCCTTTCAAAGTCAATGTGCTGTAACTATTATTAATGTTACTGTAAATAGTAATAGTAACAAAACTATTGCTGCCTCAATTTGAAAGCAATTATGCTTTTTTAGAATTTTAGGGAGAACCAAACACCAAGGTTTCTAGAATCAGAAAATGTTTGCCTTTTAGCTATGTAAAAAATTAAAAGTTAAACCTTGTACTGGAGAATTTTAGAATCTTTGAATTCAAAGTTTCTCCTACCACTGTATTAATTTCATATTTGATTTCTCTTTAAGAGAGCATATAAAAACATGTTTAGCATTTCCTCCCTTGCCAGGTTGCATTTTATCTTGAGTAGATTTAAAACCAGATTAGTTGTAACAGGATTCCAGGATGTGGGCAGATGTCTATTTGTCATGGACGATATCTCTTGCAATCAGCTCCTTCATTATTTCGTTGGTACCACCATAGATTGGCTGAACTCGGGCATCCACATAAGCTCTAAATAAATCAGAAGATGACTGAATGAGTAAATAAAAGATATTGGAAATTACAAATTTTGACTTACCAGGTAATTATTAGTTACTTTATTTAATGAAATCTGAACAATAAAAGTTCTTTATAAATTCCTTTTTTTCCACTATGGCATTCATCCTAGATTTGTATAATTATAAAATTCTATTAAGATACTGATCATCTTTATAGCTTTGTTTTAGTTTGCTTGATGAGACTGCAATTTCAAAATAACATTTATTATTATGTTTCATTGATTTAATTTTGTAAAATTTAGCACATACAGCATTCTAAAAAAGGCTGTTTCAGGCTTAGAATGGACAGAATGTCTTAATTTCTTGTTATCGTTAATGTTCCCTTAAAAAAGTTATAATCTACTGGTTTTACAGGAAACAAAAGAGAAAAGAAAGTACCTATTTTCTAACGTCCCTTTAGATTCCCACTACCAATGCTGCCATCAGGAGTATAAATTGATGCTTTAGAAAATATTACTTCCCACAAAGTTAACAAGTAACTTATTTTTTGAAAATGGTTAATAGTCACTCCAGTAATGTATGACATTAAAATACTGAGTGCCCAAGTCTACTGCCGCAAAAAAAGAAAAAATGTTACGAGGAATTCACTTTTGGTAGCAATGATAGCAACCAGGAAACTGTATATTTATTTTCTCATCTCATTTTATCCTCCCACTTTATCCTCTCATTTTCTCATCTCATTTTATCCTTTACACCAGCATCAGGGAGCATAAATATTACTATTGTTTTGCAGGTAAAGGAACTGAGTGCAGAGCAGTTATACATGCACTAATTAATGGTTGCTATTTATTGGTCACATAACAGATAATTAATTGGCAGGCTGGAATGAGAAGGTAGGTATCTTGCCACTTTGGCAAGTATCTTTTTTATTCTATCACAATATTTCCATTGGTATAGGCATGCAGGACTAGTTACGAGCTTTGGACTTTCCTAGTAGACGAATTCAAAGGCATTTTTTTTTTCAAGCATAGAATGGTTTTTGTTTTTATTTATTTATATTTTTATTTATTTATTTTTAAAATTTTATTTATTTGAGAGAGAGCAAGACAGCAAGAGCATGGTGGGGGGGCAGAGGGAGTGGGAGAAGGAGACTCTCCACTGAGCAGGGAGCCCAAGGCGGGGCCCGATCTCAGGGTTCCAGAATCATGACCCAAGCCCAAGGCAGCCAATTAACCGACTGAGCCACCCAGGCGCCCCTGTTTTTTGTTTTTAATTTGTTTTGTTTTTAATCTGAGACAAATTAAATGTGCCAGCTCTCTAGAAAAATGACCAGGTTCTGGGACTCTACATATTCATCATGGTACCTTGTAAACAGTGAGCAGTCAGTAAATATTTATGGATTTAGTGTATTACAAAGGAATTTTAGAGTCTCAATACCTACTTTTTGATGAAACTTGAAATATGAAGACATTTGCATTTTCAAATATATTTTTTCTTTTGAACAGATTACACTGTTGCCCACAAAATCGAGCACTTGCACATAGAGAACCTACCTAGCATTTCAGCCTACTTCAGCAATGCTTTTAGAAATTTTTGGACTGGGCTTTTTTTTTTTTCCCCCCACATTAAATAAGTTCCAATGGAGTAGGTAATGACAGAGATCAGTAGACCTTTTATAGGTTAGTAATTAAATTAAGTCATCAACTAAAATTAACAGAGAAAGGCAGCAGAAGGAATGTTTAACCACACAGTGACGAAGCTCTGTATCTCAGGCTGTTCCTCCTAGCAGGGCAGAGGAGTCTTGGAATGGCAAAGCTCAATAAGCCTCACTTCTCAAAGGCCCCAAGCTTAATGAGTAAGACTGAAACATATTCATATGCTTAAGACCAGTTATTTAAAAACAAATAAAAAACAAATAAAAAGCGACAAAACAAAAAAGCAAAACAAATAAAAAACCCCAACAAATCCAAAACACACACACACACACACAAATAAAACAGCTTAATCCGAGGATATAAGAAACACAATCAGAATGATTTTTTTCTCTCAAAATCTGTGCACTGCAACCACATACTGCCTAATGTGTCTAATCAGCCTTTTGATATTATTTATTATTCTCTCTTCCTAACTTACGAAAAGTTCTTTCCCCATGTCTTTGGGAAGAAAAATAGCAGTCTAGTTTAAAAGTTCGTACAATCTTTGAACTAACAAACCAGCCAAGAAGGGGATTATTATTCCTGAAAGGAAATATAAGTCTCTCAAATTGAAACCAGGCATTTCAAGTAAGCCATCAAGCTACAATATTTGCTTGCTACTGACCTGAAGGAATGGCCTCTAAGAAAACAGAGAGCAAGACTTACTCTACACTCTGCTCTTGGGCTATGTGGATGGTGACTCTTCACCTCATACACCTTTCTTGGAACCTGAACTACACTAGACAAACACTGAGCCAATACATGTCTACATTTCCAACAGCAGTTGTAATGGCACAGTCAAGTAGAAGAATATAGATATGCATTATGATTTTACTTTCTTACATTGTAAATATTGTGAATAAGATGGACTAATATTGTGAATAAAACATGAAAATGCACAGAAAAAAATTCCAGTGATGATTTAATTTGTGCTAGCATAACTCAATGTTTACTTCTGATTTCATGACTACACAAAGATAAAAAAAAAATCTGCTTTTGATTAAGGCTCATTTGAAGTAGTTCTGAAAGGATATATGCCAAAATCCAAGTCCAGGGATTGACCAAAAAATAAAAAAAATAAAAAAATAAAATAAAATGAGTATATATATGAGTGTGTGTATATATATATATAATTTAGTTACTTCATGTCTACATTCCCAAAGAAGGGAAAAGCCCTAGTTGCTGCTGAGTTTTTATAAAAGGTTATAAATTATACACACCCTGTGATTAAAGCTTTCTGAACTGCCCCAATGGCTACAGAAAATTAGTAGATTAAATCTATACTGGAGCTTCTGTTCTTAATGTAACTTAACTAAAATGTTTAATTTTCCTCATTGAAGACCATAAGTATATCAAATGTTTTCAATTATGTTTGCCAAAATGATAAATTTGAAAGTCAGTTTGAATACTAGTTTGATAATTTTCCCTTTCAGATAGTCTGTATTTAGATTAAAATTAGAATAGAAAAAGTTTTTAGAAGCCCATAGCATTCACATTCTCAAATTCAAAACTCAACTGGACTTCTCTCCATATAGTAAAACTTCCTTGAGAAAAGTTTTATAAACTGAAAATATTGCTAAATAAGAGGAAAATTTGCTAGAGCAAAATGAATAATCAAATATTTAAGATATGAAAACTTTGATCCTTTTCACATTTGTTTTTTTCTGAAGTGCCAATTTTTTTTTTTACTTTTAAAAAGTGGTATTTTAGGGGCACCTGGGTGGCTCAGTCAGTTGAGTGTCTCACTCTTGGTTTTGGCTCAGGTCATGGATCTCATGGTTGTGAGATCAAGCCCAGTGTCCAGCTCATACTGAATTGAGATTCTCTCTCTCTCTCTGCCCCTCCTCTGGCTCATGTGTGTGTGTGTATGTGTGTGTGTGCACATGCACATGTGCATTCTATCTAAAATAAATAAATAAAATCTTTAAAAAAGTAAAATAAAAAGTGATATTTTAGAAGACATATAAATGACCAACAGGTAATGAAAAAATGCTCATTGTCACCAAAATCAGGGAAATGCAAATCAAAACCATAGTAAGATATCACCTCACATCTGTGAGGATGGCTATTAAAAAAAAAAAGGAAAACAGGTGTTGAGAAGAATGTGGAGAAATTGGAACCCCTGCACACTGTTGGAGGGAATACAAAATGGGGCAGCTGCTACGGAAAACAGTATGGAGGCTCCTCAAAAAATTAAACAGAACTACCATATGATTTTAAAATCCCATTTCTAGGTACTGATTGTAAAGAATTGAACAGGACCTCCAAGCAATATTAGCATTCACATGTTCATTGCAATATTATTCACAGTAGCCAAGATGTGGAAACAACCTAAATGTCCATGCACAGATGAATGGATAAAGAAAATGGAGCGGAATACTGTTCAGCCTTAAAACAGAGGGAAATTCTACAATATGTGACAACTTGGATGGACTTGAACATTCTGTTAAGTGAAATAAGCCAGTCACAGAAAGACAAATACTCTGTGATTCCACCTATATGAGGTATCTAAAATAGCCAAATTCATAGAATCAAAGAAGAATGATGGTTGCCAGGAACAAGGGAAGAGGAAAATGGGGAGTTATTAATCAACGGGCATAAAGTTTCAGTTGAGCAAGATGAATAGGCTTAATTAGAGGTCTGCAGTACAATGTTGTACCTACAGTTAACAATACAGTATGGAACACTTAAAAATTTGTGAAGAGGGTAGATCTGATGTTAAATGTTCTTACCACAGTAAAATAAAATAATTAATAGTCAATGCAAATTAAAGGAAGACTAATAACCTATTTTCTATCCGCTACGTTAGCATAAGGTTTAAAAAGCAGGAACATTCATAGTTTAGGAAGATAAGTTATCCTCAAACTTTTTTCATTTGAATATGAGTTGCGACTAACTAGAGAAAATAATCTGGCAATGTATTAAAATTTAAAATATGCATACTTTTGAACCAGCAGTACTACTTTTGGAACTCTGTCCTGTCATAATCAAAAACACATGTATCTAAGACAAATGTTTAAAGGTGTTTTGTTGAAGCATTTATTCTCATAGTAAAAGAGTCGAAATAACCTGTGTAACTATGGTTAACCAATAAAATACAGTATCATTCGACCATAAAGAAAGTGATATTAATCCTTCTGTATAATGATTCAAATAAAGTCAAACTTTATTATATTGGTCTCTTCACTTTAAAAATGATAAAATCCTAGTAGTGAGCTGATAACATGAAGCTGTTTCATCTGCTTGAACACACTCTGTAGTCAGATGACAAATACAAAGATTTTGCTTCTCTTTTTCCTCTACACTCAATGTACAAAGTACAGTAAAGAAATTTTCCTTTTTCTTCACATCATACTCACTTTGCAATTGGGTACTCCCACATGTATCCCCAACCTCCATGGAGCTGGACACAGTCATAAGCTACACGGTTTTGTAAGTCAGATGCCCTAGATGACCAAAATAAAAAGCAAAAAAGGAACATTTGAAATGGAGTCTCACGAGGTGCTTCACAATCAGGAAACAGATTATTTCTGACTGCTTAAAGACATACATTATCAAACAATTACAATTAGACATATTAGCTAACCAGAGAAGATTGACATAAATTATATATGAAATAAATCTCTTGATAGTTTTCACATAATGAATACTTTCCTCATCAATTAGTTCTGGCTGGGTTTTTGGTAAGGCTAGAAATAAAATGTGGAAAGCATAGACTATTAGGTTTTGGTTACTTTAGGCCTGAAAAGGACAAAGTAAAAACCTGAATTTGGTCTAATTTATTTAGATTCTTTGTATGATCTAAGTAACTATATAGTTATACAACCATCTATTTCCTTTTGCCTTGTAATATGTCTTTTTCTCCAAAGATATCACTTCTACCTGAAGGTTGCAATTCTGAATTTCAGTAACTGTGAAAAAACTTTTTTTAGGGATTTTCAGAAATAAACTGAAAGTAAAAGTAAAAACCTAAGAGGGAAGACTACTATTAAGGTACACACCATTATTTAGGAAACTTGTTAAAGATTATTTGGGCATTATTATTCCCAAAGTATCTGAAATACTTGAGAAATATTCTTGATCTTATCACAGTAATTTTAACTATCATTAAAATTCATAAGATAACTCGTAGAGATTTTATTCATCTTAACATAAAAATATAAGTTCAAAATGCTTTTCGACATATTTTTCTTATTTTTTAACTTTTAAAGTAATGTCTGCCCACAACGTGGGGCTTGAACTCACGACCCTGAGATGAAAAGTCGCATGCTCTACTGACTGAGCCAGACAGGCGCCCCTCGACCTATTTTTCAACAGTGGGAAACAAAGCAAAAGTAAGCATAACCACATTTTCTTCTGTAAAATAATTTTTAACTTAATTTCTAGGACAGGTGAGGATGTTCCTAATACAACAGTAACAATATAATGATTAACAGATAAGGCTCAGGGGGCAACAATATTTGGAATTCTATACATTTTTGTATTTGGCAAGTATTTTAGTGAAATATTTACTGGGCTATAACTAGTTGCTTCCTCTGCTTCAATGTGAAGTAACAGTATGTCTTTAAACTTAGTGTTTTCAAAGAACAATAAGGTCAATAGCTATCTAAATATTTCTTTTTCTAAAAATGTCTAAAAAATTTTTATACTTTTTTCAACTAGTCAAAGAACTTGCTATAAATGTAAATGTAAAATGTCCCCCTCAAAGTACAAGTTCCTAGTAATGCCACATCAATTTCAACCTGGCAGTTTTATTATTTTGGAATCATTACATAGAGAAGTATCCTGCATATTTCCCCATTCTATTTCTGATTGAACTGAACACAAGTTAATGAATAATGACAGGAATTTTTTCTAGGTTATTTTTGGGCTAATGAGATGTGAGAATGTTTGTTTTTAAAACAGAGGAAACCAAACCCATTTCCAGAATCTGATTTAAACTATGTTCTTGCATCTTAAAATACACAAAAACCTTATAGGAGTCTCTTTTCAATTAATTCATCTTTAATACCATTGCTACTCATCTGTAATCCCAATGAAAAGTCTTTCCAAGCCTAATAGGACATTTTCCCTTTCACTCAATCGAGCATGTGTCACTTTTGATGGGACAATCAATGTTTCAGACGTTTTTCTTAGATCTGGACAACATTTTAAATAGGAAAATGCAGTCCAGTCTACTCATTTCACAGATATCAAAATGTTGGCCCTGAGAGAATTAAATTTAATTATAGTTATTCGATGAAAGACTTGGGATTCAATCTCAGGATTCTAAGTCTTACTGTTCTTGTTTGGTCTCGTTACAGTGCTACTCATCAGATAATTTGAAATTAAACTAGTACTTGAATGAACTAACCAGTCACCCTCCTTCAGTATCTTAATATCTTATTTTCAATAGCAAGCTAAAAGTTAAATCCACTTGAGTAATTTTTAGCACATTATAAATAGGTTTCATGGGACCTTCCAGTATTTTTTTTTTTAAAGTTGAGCCTTACTGTTAGTTTTTATTTTCACAGCCTTCTTCCTTTAAGACCCTCATGGCTGAGTGTAAAGTTGGAAGAATTGCATAACAGTCTGTGCAAACACCACATTTTAATTACTGAAGCATGCATACCAATATTTCGCCATGGAGGCCGTGGCAGAGTCCAGACGTTTCTTTTCATGCAGCTGAAGACAGCTGTCCACAAAAGCTCTGGTTACACAAATGTGTGTTTTTAATTCTGCCAGCTTATGCTGCACTGTCTTGAATTTAAAGAAAATGAAAGGGAAAAAACTGAGCATAGAAAAAGAGCATATTTTTAGTCACCTAGTATATCAAAAATTATATAATGGAAGATCTTTAGGGCAAAACAAAAGCAGAATTCCCGGTTCTTTTTTTTTTTCCCCTCTCTAAGGGGCATATGTTAAACTAAATAACTTAAATTTAAAACCCACTATATTCATTGCTAGAGAAATCTGTACTAAAAGATGAAAAAAGAGATAAATACATAAACAACATCTCATGTTTTAGATTAAAAAAAAAATTTAGACCAGTTAGGGAAACTGCCTGAAAAACAGCAATGGCTTCAATAGGTGAGCACCATCTGGTGGTACAGTCCTTTAATACAGCTGTTGAAAACACCTCTTTTTCCTCCAGAATCTAAATCCATATAGAATTTGTCTTTTTTTGCTTTTTATGAAGAATTTGTCTCTATTAATGAAATTAAGTATACACATTTCTCTATTCTGCTTCTTTGTCTTGGAGTAAAATAATAAAGTAACAAGCTGGAAGGACAACATTAAAAATATTTATTAGACATTATTTTATATTGCAAAGTATTTAATTTAGATCTACAGAATGTAGAATAACAGCATCAGAGCACTCCAGAGATCAAAGTCCAGTACGCTCCAACCTCTTTCATCTCTCTCCGCCCTTCCTCCGATCCCTCTCAATAGCTAGTCTCTAACTTGAACTGAATGATCTGGAATGGCCAATGTTAATATTTTATACTTTCTCCTCCTGGCCATAGACAACCTATAGTAGCCTTCGAAATCATTCTCTCTACTCTCAAGTGTTTTTGACTGCTTTCACTTCAATCAAGTTTTCTTATATTCCAGTTTCTTGGCTCTCATACCTTGAATTCTGAGTTTACATCTGGTCTCTTTGGTACCAACTCTTGAAACTCCTTCAGGAAACTGGCTTGGATTTGACATACTAGCCTTCCACTTTGGGTAACCCCCCGAAATACACCCCATTCTAGTTGACCTCTTAGGTTCAAGGCCCAGCTATGGTCAGCTGGCTCTGTCTTCCTTGTGGAAATTCAGACAGAACAGAGTTTTGATCATGCTGCTATGGAATTCATGAGTGAGACCTTTGCTGTGGCTAATAAAAGGTGTGGAAGTTAGTGACAAAGTGGCACAGTTAAAATCAAACTAGAAATTCATGTGCCCCACCTATGCACTGGCAAGTTCAAAGCCATGATTGAGTCCCCAAAAGGAAGGCTTTAGGGACCAGATTCTCAAGAGGATGCTGGCCCTGCCATTCCTATTGACTAGGGCAATTCTCACACCACAAAACTGAACCTTTTAGCATCGTTGTTGTGGGGACAGTTTGGGTACTTTCCATTTCCAGAAAAGGGTAGAAAAGGAATATAATAAGACCCAGGACCAGGCAAGACCTGAGGGTCAGGAGGAGTAGGTGCTATGAGGGACCGATTCCTCAGAGGTGTATCAATATAACTACCATGCCAATGAAAAACCCAACTGACTGCATTTTGCTTGGCTTTACTCCATCCTGTTCTAGAAACAGACAATATGACTGGCACCTAATGGTTCCAAAACCAAGCAATAGGAAGACTGGTGCCACATTTTTTCCACCTCTGTATCCTGGCCTCTGATTCAGAACATGCTGGGTCACATCAAAACCTTCTCCCCCGCCCCACTCTTTCCCTTACCTTGTTTATCTCCCTTTCTATTCATTTATATTTAATTAGGCCAAATCTCTATCACCTAATCAGCACGAAGTTTCCCACTTCCACCCCAAACATTCAAGATTATTCATAGAAAACCTAAAGATGGAAGAAGAAATGGAAAAAAGTGAGGAAATACTGTTCTATACATTGAAAACAGATGAGTATATATCCCCTCTAAGCCTATTCCTGGTTTAGTTCAGTGACACTATCTCTAACACTTTATTTGGAAAATAAGCGAGAATCTGACAATTTTTTTTAATTTATTTATTTTTATTTGAAAGAGAGAGAGAGAGCACATGCAGTGGGGAGAGATAGAGGGAGAGGGAGAGAATCCCAAGTAGAGTCCCTGCTGGGAGCAGAGCCCAATGTGGGGCTTGATCCCACAACCCTGAGACCATGACCCAAGCCAAAATCAATAGTCAGATGCTCAACAGACTGAGCCACCCAGGAGCCCTGAGAATCTGACAATTCTTAAGATACTTTTGCCCTCTCCCCACTGTGATGGCGCACTTGAGAATTTATGCACTATTTACAATGTGAGAGAATCAAGATCTCTAAGCCCAATTCCCTCACTTGAGAGCTATTTTTCTGGGGATGCTGGGAGCTTCCAGAAGCTGAAGTTAAATTTCAGATCAGAATGGGCTCATTTAGAACTCTTGCTTTAATTCATTTAGTGAAGTCCACAGGTTTGAAGAAATTAATGCCTCCAAGAATACATAATTTACTCTCTGGGGATAAAGAGATTAAATATTTGCATATTCTAGACATCACTTTGGGTATTACTATACAGATTTTGTCTTGGCTCTTCACTGCAGACATTGCCTCATGTTTTCAGAAATTATTCTGTAATGGATGGTGGTGAATAATTGTACCACACATTATTAGCAAGGTGCTTCTTGTGAATGATCAACACACTTGTAGCAATATTTTTAAACATTCATTAATAACTAATAGATAATACTGCAGCTAGCATTTAAAAAAAAATCCTCGAAACCTACTGAGTGAATCGAAGTATCTTTCAGAGTTCTGAAAGACGTAACTCTTTGAATCATACAATTGTGGAACTGGAATACAATTTGAAGAGGTTATCTAGCCCACATTCCATTTAAACAAAACCATTAATTGTACTCTAATATATTATAACTCAAATATAAAATATAACACTGGGGGGCCCAGGTGGCTTAGTTGGTTAAGCATCTGCCTTCGGCTCAGGTCATGATCCCAGGGTCCTGGGATCGAGTCCCGCGTCGGGCTCCCTGCTCAGTGGTCTCCCTCTCCCTCTCCCTCTGCCTGCTGCTCTCCCCGCTTATGCTTTCTCTCTCTCTGACAAATAAATAAAATCTTAAAAAAAATATATATATATATAAATAAAATATAACATGTTAGGTTTGCCATTTAATTTTATAGTTAATTAACCCCCCACTCAAGGTCTTAAGAATTGGGCAATTACTTTTTGGAGGAATGTAAAGAAGTGCTGTTTTTTTCCTCTCCTATTCCTTTTTGTAATATTCTGTGCTCTTACAATCAAGAGCATACCACACAGGAAATAACTAAAGCTTGTCTTAGAAAAGAACATTGAATTTTCACTTCATTGCCCATGGGTGAAGGAAGTGGGGAAAGAAAAAAAGGTCTATCTACTTTAAATTTCTGGGTAGTAAATAGTGTGTGTGAGTTAAGAGTGTAGGTTCTGGAGTTATAATATCTGTGTTATCTTGGCAAAATTGCTTAACCTCTCCATGCCTCAATCTCCTTATCTGTAAAATGAGGGTAAATATAACACTTATTTTATAGAGAGTTGTGAAGAAAAAATGAGACAATTCATTTAGCACAGTGTCTGGCACATGGAAACAATGCAATAATGAGTCACTATCATTATTTGTATCTGAATTTTACCTAATTATTATCTAATCTTTAGAAAACCATAAGATTTGACATCAAATATGGAGAGTACGAATGAAAGGAAATGAAAATCCTAGAAAAATTGCCACTTAAGTATGATAGGTCTCCATGCTAAAAAGAATATGATTTTTTTGGTGGAATGTATCCAAATGGCAGAAAGGCCCCAAATGTTTAAAATTCAAGGATAACAAAGAGAAAGGAAGGAAACTGAATAAATGATCATAAGATGACATTTGGCTAAGTATAATATGACATTTAAAGGTCTTCTATTTCATTTTAATAACCAGAACGATAGTGTACCCAGCTCTAGAATAGGAGGTGAAAGCAATATATTGGTTATTCATATTCTTTGAATACATTCCTAGACTGAATATGAAAATATTACTCAAAGGTACTTATTTCAATAAAACAGAAAGATGAGAAGAAATATCTCAAAAATCTGAAAACATACATATATTTACGCAGAAAACCATACTACAGGGAGCCCTAGTATACGGGCAGAAGCAATGCTACTGCCACCTAGTGAAATTTTGGTAAACTACATTTGAAAGGAGGCAATAATAAAACGGTACTTGCTTTGAAATATATACAAACTATATACAAATTATCTATTATTATATAAAATACATATTAATATATAACATATGTTAATATATGAAATACATATATTATACACTTTTTTCCTTTATGGGAAAACATTATACCAATTTCCTATTTCCTTCATGGTCAAATGTCAAATCAGACTTAACATTCTGAGTTATAGACAATCTGGGTAATATGGTCATCTTTGTTGTCATTTAATACATATTCCATAAAAGGAGATGTAGATTTCCAAGGAGATGGAAAATATGCTTATTGGGTTCACTTTTTATTTTTTTAAAAGATTTTATTTATTTATTATGTCAGAGAGAGAGAGAAAGAGGGAGAGAGCACAAGCAGGGGGAGTGGCAGGCAGAGGGAGAAGCAGACTCCCCGCTGAGCAAGGAGCCCGATGTGGGACTCGAGACCCAGGACCCTGGGATCATGACCTGAGCCGAAGGCAGATGCTTAACCAACTGAGCCACCCAGGCGTCCCTATTTTTTAATTTTTTAAAAAAATTTATTTCCGAGAGAGAGAGAGCACATGTGTGCAGGGTGGGGAGGGCCAGGAGGAGAGGGAGAGAGTCTTAAGCAGACTCTGTGCTCAGCATAGAGCCCGACGTGGGGCTTGATCTCAAGATCCTGAGCCGAAACCAAGAATCGGACATTTGACTGACTGTGCCACCCAGGCTCCCCAAGGTTCACTTTTTATAGTATCCATAATAGGGCTAAAGGCATGAAATTGGTGGTGGTTGGATTTCAGAAGCAAAAGCTATTACAGACATACCTTGTTTTCTTGCTCTTTGCTTCATT